GAAATTAGGTTAGGCTATGATTATCTATATATCAATAAGAAATTTCTTGATTCTTTGCAATAAAAAGCTATATCCTCTATTAACACTTACTAATATACACAGGCACATAACTTACATTTATATCTCTATCCTTTATTTTAAGAAAATAACTCTTTTTTTTGAGAAAATTACTGCAGCTGCTTTATAAAAAATAGCCAGAAATCGAATAAATTATGTATTAAAAACAAAATATTTACACTAAGTCGACAGAACGCGTCGAATTTGATAGTACGCAGCCAGCAAATGTGTGTTTCTCTCTTCATATCCAGATTCACACTTTCGATGCACAAAATAACCTACAACATTTGCAACATCAGGAAGTGAGTAGGAACGGACACGCTTGTTAGTAATTACAGTAACACAAGATTTAGACAAGCCGTAAAAGGCTGCATATGAGGCAATTTTATTTAGGGTTACGAAGATCAGAAATATAAGTTTATATGAGATTGTATATCGCATATACGGGTATGTATGTATACCTTTATAGGTATGTATGTTGCAGAAAGGTAAAAGAATTACGCAATAATAACAAAAATATATTATGTAATAAAAATGCAACATACATAGGTTAGGCAAATGAAGTTTTTAACCCCCCATCCTCCCTTAAATGTGAAAACTATAAAATTTTTATCTGGTTTTCCATATAACTGATCTAATTTTGGTGAGATACTTTTTGATTAGGGTGAAAAACAAACATTTTATGCAACTGTAGGCCTGTACGACAACAACTGAAACAACAAAAATGCAAGGACATAGAAAAAAAAAGTATTACAGTTGTTTTTGTTGTTAAGAACGCTAATAAAATAATGGCCGACAATTATTTTGACAGCACCGTTGCAATCTTTAATGTAGGTTATTACCGAACAACTGGCATTTACGAGTGTATCTATGTGTATAGAAATATATATGTATCTACATAATTTGTGTGCATATATTTTAAGCGTTGTCATTTCCGGTTGATATCTAAAATTATGGATGCTTTAATGGTGTCGTCCTCTGCACATTTAACGATTATACGAATTAATTTTTGAGGTCATTGTTGAATTGCATAAAAACAAATACAAGCATAGGGAATAAATGGAATGGTTGGTTCCTCAGAAAGATATTAAATTAATTGCCGTCATTTTATTGACAAAGGCAAGTAAATACTGAAATATGTTAAACAAGCTTAAATATTTTGACAAAAGCTTAAATATATTGAAAACAATGTTGAGAAATATTGTAGAAATCGTAGAAAAAATTTATTTAATTTTATCTCCAAAAGTATATATTTAAAAGATATTAATTTAAATCAATTAAAAATTCAGTTTCATTCAATTTTATTGTTAATTAATTTATGAGCTTTGATTCGAGAACCGTTGATGTTTAACCATAGTCAACAATTAATAAAAACATGCTTAGAATTAGTATAAATTAATTAAATAATAAAAATATACAATATTTACATAATTAGTTTGTTGTTTAAATCAAGGCAAGGCAAAAATAACTCAAAATTTTGTCACGATTTTCTTATTGAATAAAATGAAACTGTGTCGTTGCGCTAATTTTTGTGCTTAAACAAATTCTTGATTTGAAGGCGAAATTGTTAATTAAAGTAATTTTGTTTTCTGAGTTTTCAATTAGAAAAATTTATTATATATCAAGTTATAGAGAAATCTTATGTACGTAGTAAGATCTATATTTACTTGTAAATACACAAAAATACGAGAGGTAATCAAAAACGAACAGAAACTTTAGAATGACGAAATCTTATATATGTAAAAATATCTATGTTTACTTGTAAATATAAAAAATACAAGGAGTAATCGAAAACTAACAGAAATTTTAAAATTTAGTAACGTTTATATTGTATTTATAAATGTTTCAAATATAAGTGCCCTTTTTATGCCTTTCTTTCCACCATCTCTTTATAATAGTAATTCAAGTAGAGCTATTAGCTATGATATATCTTAACAGAAAGACAAATAGCACAATTTATCCAAATATATGTCAGGAAGTGGCCTTCTATCTAGACGAAAGGGTCACGTGGACAAGCTAAAAGCTGTCAATTGAATCTTAAATATAAGGAATTGTACTGGCTTCTAAATCGCAACTCTAAACTCAGTCTCGATAATAAATTGTTAATTTACAAATCAATATTAAAGCCAATTTAAACTTATGATATAGAACTTTGGTGTTCAGCGTGTAACAGAAATATAGAAAAAATCCAGAGAGTACAAAATAAAATACTCCGACAAGGTACGTGCGCCCCGTGATATGTCAAAAACAAAAATCTACACAAAGATCTAAATTTACCAACTGTTGAAGAAGTTATTCGCCAATATATACCTAAATTTTGAGAGAGACCCAAGTCGCATCCAAATCCTCATGTTTGACAGTTATCTTCTACAACTGCACCAAATCGGCTTAAAAGAAAATTTTTGATAAATATGAATACCTCGCATACATGTTAGGTTTTAAGTTTTGCAAAATTATTGTCAATTTCTATTTAGAAAGATTCAATAAATAAACCGATGAAAGAAAAAAAAGAAAAAGGAAGTGGCCTATCATAATTTATGCAGTATGGGGAGCCCTAGGACTCGGAGTTGTCGAATAGAATTCCTGTCTTTGCAAACGAAGAGCCCATCGTTAATTGATTGGATTTAAGTCATTCTGCCCTACACCGAAGAGGCACATAATAGAAAAACGGAGATTCTAGTATGAATGACAATTTAAAAACAATCTAATGTCAAAGATAAGCAAAGGGATTTATCAACACATTTCACTCTGTTTCAAATAGAGTTATTGTACTGAACAAAGAGGATCTCAAAATTCTCATTGTGTTTTCGGCAGAGCACTGCAGGTTTGGATACTATTTTAACATAATGGATTTATTTTATTTATGTTATTAATGGATTTTATTTATTTATTTTTATTTCTTTTGTTGTGAAACGGATTGAACAGATTTTCTGTGTCTACTGAAAACTGAGCATCAGCAAACTGCTCAGACTTTGTCTTGTGGAGTGTCCCGATTTCCATACACATATGCCAAGAAACAAGATGCTTAATGTTTGATGTTAGATTAAATGAATGGTTATTAAACAGTAAATCACCTTAGCTGCAGTGTATAGTAATCACTATATTTCTAATAATCCTGATAATATTTTCGTCCAAACAATACTGTCAGATGTTTACATTTCCCCACTTCCTTAAATCTTCATCTAGTAATCACAGTAAACATTCTATTTTTTTAAAATATAAATTAATTCAAATAAAAATTTCATTTGTCATATTTATATTCTGTTTGGTTCGTAGTAGAAGGCAGTAGTTCAATTTTAAGGTATATATTTTTTAATTAAATTAATATGTGTAAATACTGTCTAATATGCCAATAAGCGAAACAACTCTTAAGCGTTTCAAGTTTGCTCTCTCCGTAGCGAGCAAGATTGTCTATTATGGCTTCATTCCATTTATTTTGTACTTACGGTATAGAAAATGTTTGGCGGAGGGAAAGTCTCCTACGACTCTTGCGGATATATTTCCACCGAATCCCTTTAAGTATCAAAAAAATTTATATTTCTGAGATGGAAGAGAAATTGCAAAAAGCAGTGACAGGCTGATGATAAGTGGAAAATTTTACTTGAAAATATAGAGTGCTTAATTAATTTTAATTGATCGTCAAATTTAAGAATAAAAACTGTAAATATTTTTATGACTAAATGAAATTTGTTTCTTCTGGTAATCAATTCCTTTGTTTGTTTTTGGTAGTATAGAAAAGATCAATTATTAAGATTCAGACCAGTAATGTGGTTTTAAGTCATTATATATAAGTCATTCACAAAATCTTATTTAATATAAAGGTTAAAGACCATTACAATTCCTAATCTCAATAAAGAATGTAATCAAAAATTAATGTCTATCTAGATTCAACATTGAAACTGAAGATACATCAGGTAAATAGATGAATACTTCGTAAGATTAGAAGAAATTAAAAGAACTATAAATATGTGTATTCAAATTAAATGTTTGAAATAAAAATGGATGGTTCACTTACAGTGATTTTCAATCCAATTTTTTATTATCCAAAAGTATCAGATAGGAACT